AAGCAGAAAAATGAAAACAACACCAATTATAATCCTAATGCCCCTAACAGAATGTGACTAGTACTTAGCACAGTACCTGGCACATAATAGGAGGTCAAAAACATTTACTGAATGAATTTTTAAAATCTACTTTTTTTTCCCAAAATCCAATGGGTGGTAGATCTTGATCACTTATGAGTAGATTTCATTTTGTTAAAAGGCCAAGAGTCCTAATAGATAAAACTAATTGGTGAATTATCAAGTTGAAAAATATTATAAATGAAATTTCCATTCTCCTCACTTTCCAACATACCCTGTTTCCCTGAAAATAAGACAGTGTTTTATATTAATTTTTGTGCCCAAACATGCACTAGGTCTTATTTTCAGGGGCTATCTTATTTTTTCCATGAAGAAGAATATGGTACACAATTATTGTTGAACAACAAACAGAGGAAATTTATTACCTGTATACGGTACGGTAATAGTTGTCATCACAAACCGTGAATTCTACAGTATCAAGAATTTCTTGTTACTACCATTATTATTTTCATGTACAACAATCTATGGTACATTTACTCAATGACAGTCATGTCATCATCTTCTGGAACATCATCATAACAATCCAAACCCTTATTTTCGGGGGGATGCCTTATATTTCAGCGACAGGCAAAAATGTAAGTAGGTCTATTTTTGGGGGGATGTCTTACTTTCGGGGAAACAGGGTAGTTAGGTTCCAAAGACCAGGTCATTATGTGACATTGGCATCATTTGAGAGTTGGGAGCTGTGTCCCATCTTAAGTGCTGGTGTCCCTCTCTCACTGCTAAGTAAAGAGGAAGTGTATTGGGAGCAAATGGAGTGGAAATTAGGGAGTTTGAACTCTAGTCTAGTAAGATAATTTTACTTGGATCCACAATCAGTGTCCATGGAAAATGCAGCAATTAAGAAATCAAATGACATATTATACTGGAAAATTTGATGCACAAGATCTATTTAAAGTGCTATAAAGCCTCACGACACACAGATTCTAGGAACAGGAGTGGAAATAGTGATACCAGAAGGGTAGGGATGAAGTGGGGGGGAGAGGAAGGGAGAAAGGGGGAACTGATTACAATGATGGACACATAACCATACGCCCCTCTCCAGGGGCAAGAGCAACAGAAAACATAGGGGAAGGGAGACAGTGGTTGGAGTGAGATATGGAAATAATAACAATGTACAATCTATCAAGGGTTTTATGAGGGTGGTGGGGTGGGGGGTGGGAAGAGGAGGTGATACCAAGGGCTCAATAGAAAGTAAATGTCTAGAAAAGAATAAAGGCAACATATGTACAAATTCACCTGATGCAAGTGATGTTTGGATTGTGACAAGAATTGTAAGAGTCCAAAAAACCATTAAAAATAAAGAAACAAATAAAGTGCTATAAAGTACAAGTGTCACTTAGAGGGCTAAGGTGTTCCTGACCCAAGACATGGTGTTTTCAATTGCCTCATATGCATGTGAAAGCTGGACCATGAATAAGGAAGCCCACAGAAGAATTGATGCCTTTGAAAAATGGTGCTGCCAAAGAATATTGAAAGTACAGTGGACTATCCAAAGAACAACAAATCTGTCTCTCAAGAAGTACAACCAGTATGTCCCTTAGAAGTGAGGATAACGAGACTCTTACATACTTTGGACATAGTATCAGGAGACCAATCCCTAGAAAAGAACACCATGCTTAGTAAAGAATCTGGGCAGTGAAACATAGGAAGATCCCCAACATGATAGTTTGACACAGTGACTGTATCAATGGGCTCAAGCATTGGAACAATTGTGAGCATGGTTCAAGCCTCCAGTTCTGACACAGTAGGACTGTAGAGTTCCTACCCCCCCCCCCCCACAACCATTTTATTAGGAGCTAATTCAGATATCATACAATTCCATAGTTCAATAACATCAAGCAGTCTTACATGTATATACACCAAAAACCATTAAACACATAACAAAGATTCAAGAAGGCTACCCATAATGACAAAACACATCAGAGATAAACCTCAATATGGAAAGAAAAAAACCCCACAGAAAATATTGAAAACCAGATCAAGCCCAAAGGGTATCCGAGGGGAGATCAAGTGACAAACTTTTAACCATTCAAGTTAGGTTTATCACTTTAATCTACTATACTAATTTCTTCAATATTCTCTGTTTGGTAACCAGTTTATTCTCATCAATTAATTGTGGTTTTATTGTTGCTTTTCTTCAGAACACACAAGTGGGTGAAGGCAGACACTATGTGAGGACCATCTATAAGCCAAGGAATATTGGTGAGTCAAGGAACGCTTAAGGCTATCAGCGAGATAGGGAGGGACGTGACTGAGACCTTAGCTTGAACTTTCATCTTCCAGAACTGTGAGAAAATGATTTTCTGTTCTTTAGCTATTGTAAAGGGTACTACCTTTTTAATGGCTTCTTCTGTGGTCCTGTCTGATGTGTATAGCAGTCTGAAAGACTTCTTTTTGTTGATCTTGTATCCTGCTACTCTGCCATATTCCTCTATCTCTTCCAACACTCCACTTGTGGAGTTTAGGGGATTTTCGATGTAGAAAATTGTGGTTTTGCCTCTTCGATTTTCTGTTCTTTAAAGCCATCACTAGTGGTAGTTGTGTTACAGAAGCACTAGCAAGCGAAGATTTATTGGGTTTTCTTTTCTTATTCCATGATTCTTTGACTTCAGTCTTTTCCTGAGATGCTACTATTTAACTCCTGAAATGGATGCTTGTTGAAAACATGGTTGATAAAAGAGTTTTAACGTATTGGAAATAACATGATCTCAGTTTATCTGGGGATTTTAATTGTCCATGCTTTCCCTAAACCTCATTTCTACAGCTATATGATAAGATGTGTTCATGATGGGAGCATTACATGACACACACTGAGGGATGTAGGAAAGGTAATACACACGCCTTTTTGATGGACAGATGTTAATTTTTACCTGCATGTTTGAACAATCTGCCAGTTCCTCCATGGAATGTCACATTAAGGACCCTTTAAATGCCTTGACTGAGCAATTTGGCTATACCCCATTTTCCCATTTCAGAATGTTTCAGATTCTCTTTGCTCCGTGAAATGCATGAAAGCTGCTTCTGACCACAGAGACTAATGTACTGCTCTTTTTATCTCCAAAACGGGCTCCCAATTGGTTCCAGGGAAAGTGATTTCCCCAAACCTGGCTGCCAGCTTAATTGGCTTATATGTGACCCATCCATTTCCACATGCTTGTTAGAACTAGGTGCTGGGTATCTCTTCAGTCACTCCCAGGGAGCTAGACAAGAGCAGCAGACGCTAGGAGATATAGTGGTAGAACCCTGTGCACTCCCTGTCCTGTGAATGGAGTAGGCCCAGGGTGGAGACTGCCCTTGAAACCAGGCAGAGATTGGTAAACTTTGGAGGACAAAAGATTCCACCTTTTCTCAGTTCTTACCTGACACTCCCTCCCTTTTTCTATCTCCTTCTGTCTGTAGTTCAGAGTCAGTAATAATAAATTGTACAAAGGAGAACCAACCTGCTTGGTGGTGAACTTAGTTCTGACACCTAATAGTTGTGTAATCTTAGACAAACTATTTAGATTCTCACCACCTTAGTCTCTTCGTCTGTAAAATGGACATAATAACAGTGCCTTTCTTGTAGTGTTGGTGTGAAGATTATATTGGTTCATGTAAGTAAACCATGTTGAGCAGTGCCTGGAAAATCACAAGGGCCATTACTATGTGACACCAGGAACCCAACATCTACTGTGAGCTAAGCACAGACTCCATTCCAGCACTGAGCATGTGACCACAGCTCTGGAGAAGCTCACACTCAGGAGAACCCTAATGAGACTGTGATTGACTTTTTATTTTCCTTGTTTTCCTCTTTCCCCACATTTCTTCCACTCCCCCCACTTTTTCACTTTCCGTATTAGTTTCCTATTGCTGATTTATTGGATTGGCAGAATAAAAACTTATTATCTAAGTCAGAAATTATGAAGGCTGTAAATATAACTGAGTAAAAAAGTTAAGGGAGGGTCTACAGGATTGGCTCATTCTGGAAGCCCTGGTGGAGATTCCCCCCACCCCCCCCCTGTCTTTTCCACCTTCTAGAAACTACTTGCAGCACTTGCCTCATGGCCCCTAATAACTCCACTGCAACTTCTGCTCTGTAACCTGCTTTGCATTACTCTTCTCTCTACTTCCACCATCATAGCTCCTTCTGGGACTCAATTTCCACCCTTGTGTTCTTTAAATATCCCTCTAACTATACTGGGCCCATTTGGATAATCTGGGATAATTTCCCTATTCCACAATTTTTGACTATGTCACATCTGCAACGTCCTTTGTACCATGTAGGTGCCATATTCATATGTTTCAGGATTAGGACATGGGCATTGTTTGGAGGTGGGGTCATTATTATTCTATCAATGAACTGAAAAACAGAAAAACGTGAAAAAACAAGACAAGAAGGACTAACAAAATTGACAAACCACTGGCAAACTTAACAAAGGAAAAGAATAAGACTATGCAAATATCTAGAATTAGAGATGAAAATGGTGACTTGAAATAGAACAAAATGAAATAAAAAAGAATAACATATATGAAAAACTGTCCTTCAACAAGTTTGAAAATTTAGATGTCATGGGCAAATTTCTGGAAATACACAAGCTACTCAAATTAACACAGACTGACACAAATCACATCAATAGACCATACCAAAAGAAAAAAATAGAACAGGTTGTTAGAAATTTACACATAAGAAAAGTCCAAAAGCAGGTTTCACAGGGGAATTCTACCAAGTATTTAGAGAACAGCTGATGACAATGCTACTCAGATTATTCCAAAATATAGAAGATAACAGGAAATTCACAAACTCCTTTTATGAAGAGAGTAAAATTCTTTTGCCCAAACTAGGCAAAGGTATCACAAAGATAGAAAACTATAGAACAATATTCTGTATGAACATAGATGCAAATATTCTCAACAAAAATCTGGCCAATATTTTGAGAATGATGAGGGTAACAGCCTGGGAGTTAAGACAAAGACTGGTGAATTTGCAGTTCCAGGAAGACAGGAAATCCCCAAATGAAAGGTCACAAAAATTTAGTTTACCACACGAATACCAAAGACTTACTCAAGAAGATCAGCTCCTTTACTATCTTCAAAGAGAAGGAATGGCCCCCCCAGTTTATGAACAAGACCTGATTGTTGCCAGCCGACCCAAGTCCTTTATTCTACCAAGGCTGGACCAGTTAAGCCGAAACCGGGGCAAGATAGACCGGGTAGCCCGATACTTTGAGTACAAACGAGACTGGGACGCAATGAGGTTACCTGGGGAAGATCATAGGAAGGAATTACGGTGGGGTGTTCGAGAGCAGATGCTTTGTCGAGCAGAACCCCAACCCAAGCCTCAGCACATATACGTTCCAAACAACTACCTGGTACCAACAGAGAAGAAAAGATCTGCGCTTCGTTGGGGTATTCGTTGTGACCTTGCAAATGGCATCGTGCCCAGAAAGCCTCCCTTCCCTCTTTCTCCTTCTTAAAGCTGTCATCTGTCCCTCTCAGGTCACATTGGGGGGTCACATGGCTCCTCATATCTCTTAAATAGAAACTCACTCCAAACACCAGTAAGGAGCTATGTATCATGTAGACTTAATTTCTGGCTCTCAATTCCAGCAATTACGAGAGAAATCGTGCCAGAGAATGAAAAACTGGGCCTGATCTATTTTGTTCTAGTAGTAATATTGAGTCAGGAAGCACCATTTCTGTTCCATAAGTTTTGTTTTTTGGTTTGTTTGGTTTTGGGGGGCTAACATGAGCTGTTATGTTTTGATTCATGTGTGTTTTTAAAGTTCTGGGTGTTTAATTTGGCCAATAAAGAATTTTGGAATTGGTGGGAAAAAAAAATTCGTCTCAGCTGAAGGAGACGAAGTTGTGCACTTTCTCCAGCAGGAAGAAGCGGGGGCGGTAGTAGTCACAGTAGCTGAGGAAGGAGACCACTAGCGAGTTCTTGAACTTGGAGTAAGTGCGAGAGTTGAAGCGGTTCATGCCACTGAACCCTTGGCAGGGCGGCCCGCCACACAGCAGCTCCACGTCTCCCTTCTGAGGCAGCCTCTGGCCACAGGAGTTGGTCTTCTCCCCGGCCATGACCAGCTTCAGCAGGAGGTTGCAGTCCTCCATGAACACTGTGGACCCCGGGTTGTTCAGCCGGAAGGCCTGGGCAGTCGGTTCCCACATTTCAATGGCCCACAGTGTCTCCAGCATGCCTTCTTGGTGGAATCCTTCCGACAAGCCCCCACAGCCCGAGAACACATGAGACGGATCTCTGGGAGGTTTTTTTTTGTTTTTTTTTTTTAATTTTTTTGACCAACCCTCCTCCCTTCCCCTACCTCCCACACTCCCATGTCCCTCCGGGGCCATCGATCCCTTTATTTTCTTCTCATATATATATATTTTTTTGTCCAACTTTTCTTATCTAGGTGGTTGTACAGAAATTACAACGTGTGAATAAAATTGGGATTGGCTTTGACAGCACAGCGCCAGAGCGGCTCATAAGAGCCTGGCGACGACGGCTGCAGTACTGACAAGCCCACAACAAAAAAGTCACTGACATACAAAATTTAAAAGAAAGGGAAAAAGGAATAAAAACAAAAAAACCCAAAAAAACCCGAACAGATAGGCTGCAAAAAAAAAAAAAAGAAGAAAGAAAACGAAAAGGGGAAGAAAATAAACAAAAAAAGGCCTGTTACTGGATCAAGGTCTGTGTGTTGACCTTTAGGAGTGTTTTCTAGACGAGTCTAATGGGGTGCCATGTCCTGGCCCCAGCATCCATCGTTTGTCTTCCCTTGGGACCTCCTTATCTGCTTCCCTGCCGCTCCATTGCACACCCCCAGTGTTTTGCCTCAGTGTGGTGGGGTCAGCTCAGTCGCCCAATCCACATTGTGTCTCCGGTGCTTTATACAATTGATGAATGTATGGATTGTGATAAGAGTTGTACAAGAGAGACTTCCGGGAAGATGGCGACGGAGTGACACATACCAGAGGGACTCTGCAGAATTCAGCCCAGGAGAGTTGCTTAGAGGGAAATCCAACCCTGCTGGAATGCAGGAGGTGCATCATAAAGATAAGTAGGCACAGGTCCATGGGGTTTTGAGGGGCTAGGGGCATATGGCTTACCATAGTGGCTTGACCTTGGCCCTGCCACTGTCTTTGCTGGACCTGGGACCATTTGGACTTGTTCTCAACACAGCCACAGTCTGCTGCTGCCTGCCTCAGGGCAGGGACTGGACCCTTGCAGCTCCATGGCAGGGATTGGGGTTCAGCTACATTGTTACTTTTGTTTCCATCTCTTCTCTCTATCCTCCCACAGTCTCAGAGGACTGCACAGGGGCTTTTTCTCAACACAGCCACAGCTTGCTGGTGCCACCTCCTCCGGCAGGGACTAAACCCTTGCAGCTCTACAGGCAGGGATAGGGACTCAGCTACAGTGTTGCTTTTGTTTCCCTCTCTTCTCTATATCCCCACACAGTTGCAGTCTGTTTACTTTTAATTTTTTTTCTCTTCTTCATCTCTTTCCTGTTCTCTTACACTTCACTGCTGATCTCTAGTCCACTCCCTTAGCCTAGGGTATTTATGCCTGTGCCACACCCAGGTAGGTGAGCTCCACCCTGTGTAGCTAGCTTGAGGATGGGGAAAGCTCAGGGCTATTCTTCCCAACTTCTTATAGGGGAATTTCTGCCTGGGGGCCTAAACCAGCTTGGACAACACTCGTCAATGTTCCAAGCAGCTGCAGGAACCTCTGCCCAACCTCCGCAACACCAAAGCAGGCAACCCAGTAGCTTCAGCTTCTTAGATGAGCTTATTAGATTTTTGTTCACATTTGTTAAAGTCTGCTTGGCTGTCCTCCAAGTCACTGATGCAGTTCTCTGATTCCTCCTGTCAATTCTTGAAGTCTGTGTTTCTGCTACTGGTTTTTGTTATCTCCTCCCTAAGCTCCTGTATTTCCCTTTGGTGTGTGGCCTTTATCTCCTCTATCATTTCATCCTTTTTCGGTACTGTTTCCCTCATATCCTGTATGACTCCAAGCAGCATTCTGAAAATGTCTTTCTGTGGCAGCTCAATGTCTGCTTCTTCTATGCATGTTGTCATGTTCGTGACAAATGGAAGAATATCCCATGCTCGTGGATTGGAAGACAATATAGTCAAGATGTGAGTTCTGCCAAAGGCACTACATAAGTTTAATGCAATCCCAAAACAATTACCCTCATCTTTCTTCAAAGAAATGGAAAAAATGATTACTAACTTCATATGGAGAGGGAAGAAGCTCAGAATGAGCGGAGAACTCCTCAAGAAGAAGGACACAGTGGGAGGGCTTGCTTTACCTGACTTTAGCACATACTATACAGCCACAGTTGTCAAAACCACATGGTATTGGTACAATGACAGATAATCAGACCAATGGAAAAGAACTGAAAACCCAGAAATAAAAT